TTTTTTTTTTTTTTTTTTAGCAAGTAGGTAAGAAGATAATAGTTTCTAGCCTCTTTGTAATGCCACTTGCCACTTCCATGCTTCAGAGGAATTGTAACATATAAGAAACATCACATCCAATTTTGCGATACAGTTTCCCAAAGTTTTGATGACCCTTACCCCCCGAACTTAGTAAGGTTATTAATCAAAGCACTGTCAGTCTTCCAGCTTTCTAGAAAAATCCTGCACAATTGCCCAGCTTTCTTTACATTCTAATATTTCAAAATTCTTTTTTTTTTTTTTTTTTTTTTTTAGCAAGTAGGTAAGAAGATAATAGTTTCTAGCCTCTTTGTAATGCCACTTGCACTTCCATGCTCCAGAGGAATTGTAACATATAAGAAACATCACATCCAATTTTGCGATACAGTTTCCCAAAGTTTTGATGACCCTTGTGGGTCCCTTCCAGCTCAGAATATTCTGCGAAAATCCTCCCATCCTATGCTCTGCCCCAGCAGGACACCATCAACTCTTTACATCTGCATACACACAGAAAACTGGCCTTATATAGTTCCTACAACAGCACCTCCCCAAAAGCAAAAAATAGCTATCATCCTTCTCACTGTTTTCCTAGTCTTTCAAATCATTATAGCAATACTCTATCCCTCAAAGTATGATGGAAAGTTTTAATGAAGGGATTTTAATTTCTCTTTAATGGCTGCTTTTGCCAACCCTCCAAGACATCTAAGAAATACAAAGATGGAGTAACAGAAAACATTCTCAGACTGACAGTATGAAAGCAGTTATTGCATGACATACAACATCTACTTTTTAAGTAACAATTACATCACCATTAGGACTTTGGAGAATATTGCTCTGACTTACAATAGTTTTACTCATACAAATGCTTTTGAGTACACTTGTAGAAAAGTTGCATGGATTCACACCTTTCTATCCTGAGATCATGAAAGGGAAAAAACAAACAAACAAAAAAACCCCTAAACCCTTGAGATTTACTTTAAGATAAAGAATTTTTTTCTGATCTTAATAAGGTCCTGTAACAGTCAGGCACAGTGAGTCACACCTGCTCCCATGATAAGGCTGAATACAGCCTCCTATGTGATCTTATTCTGAATTGTCCTGGTGAAGGGATACAATGTGTTATTATTAAAATCAAATATTCCTTAAATATTTAACTTCTGATTGAAGTCCCTCCATAGTCAACTCCTTCACAAAGCTTGAATTAAGAGGAGGATTTTGGATACTCTGATCCCTTCCCCTAGCAGATGCAGCGATTCAAAACACCAAATGAATACTGGCTGGTGTTAGAGAACAGAGCATGGAAAACTAGGTAAGGGAATCCCAATTAATTAACCTCCTGTTTTTAAGCACAACAGCTGCCTTGTCCCTGCTTAACACTGTGATCTCTGCTATACACACCCCTTTCCTTCCTTTGGATTATGGAAGCTAAAAGTGAGAATAAACTAGGAAAAATGGTTCTATTTGAATCAGTAATTGACTAGTTAGTCATTCCCACTTTGAAAAAAAACCAAAACAGTATTATATAGAAGGAAATACATGACAGTCCTGAAAACACCTTTTCTGGAGTTTCCAAGGAAAAATATATAAATCAAGGAAGGTGAAATCAAAGAGCAAGACCAAACAATATCACATGCTTCCCTCAACCCCATGCACCTACACAGTCCTTCACTGCTGCCACTCTACAACACATCAGTGGGGCTGGAGGAGCTGCTGGGGACAGTGGAGATCTGGGTGTCAATGATGAGTTCTGCTCTTGTATCCCTACATGGGCTAGAAAGTTGTAAGCATCCACAGCCTCCACTGGCAAGCACAAATGAAGATCCAAAAGAGACTAACAGACATTTCTGGGGGCCACTAGTAGAACTTGAGCTCTGCAACCAGCAAGGGCAGCTCCACAGTAAGATACAGCTCAAATCCTTATCCAGTTAAAAGCACAGACGTGGTATAAGCAGCCCAGGACTACTCTTGCTCTGCACAGAAGAATTCAACTGAAGTAAAATCCAGCCAACAGAGTTCTATTCAACAACAACAAACTCTGGTGATCAATTCTTTCTGCTGCAGCTCAGTGGACTTGCCAGGTTTACCAAGCAAGAACATATGTTGAAAAGACTTGTAAGAGTCAAAATAATGAAGTAAAACTACTCAGTTGAGATGATTTCCTGCTAAGGAACCAGGGGAACCTCCCTCCTCTGTAGAAATGGAACTGATATGGCAAACAATTTAAGAATACTTTGTGCCACCAAGAGAGTAACCTGTTCTGTCCCCAGGTGTACCTACCAAGTGGAACAGCCTTCTGAACAAAAATCTTATGACATCTGATGGCAAGTGACTTGGAATGCTCTCTTCTTGGAGTATCCTGCCATCTTTGAAACAAATACAGGACCTTATGTGTACCACACTGTTTCTGAGTGAGGCCCTCAGCTACATTTGTTTCAAGAATCTGGAAGAGAAGGGTGGTGCTGGCTCTAACCCAGCTCTTACTGGTAGCACTGATGATGCAACATCAGCAGCACCCACACAAATCTGAAAGACAAACCCAGCTGAACGTTAGGCTGTTTGCTGTTTGCCTTGGAACTACAGAAAGGAGCCTGTGGGAAACATGAGATTAGCACATCACCTCGGAACAGGGCAAGAGGCTCTAACATAGACTCCAAGACTGTCAGGCAGCCCACCCTGATCCCACTGACAATTAAACTACTGGTGTAAGTGGTATAAGCACCTCTCTCAGGTACCTGGATGCTCCCTTTGTTCTGCTCTTCCCATGGACCTGAAACCTGGCCCCACTGCTGCCTGTCAGGAGCCAGACATCCAGACCAAGGGCCCTGAGGCCAAGAACCAGAGATCTGGAGGAGATTTGCTAAGGATAAGGAGAACATCCAGAGAAGCTGCAACAAATCTGGTACACAACAGAGTTCCCTCACACTTAAGTTGGGCAGAGATCCTCAGCCCTCCCAAGGGCACAGTGTGATCCAAGTCTGCCAGGCCAGTGCTCCCATTGATCTGTACTGAGGATGTGCAGCATATATTGGATTCTGCAACAGCCCTTTTGGCAGAGGATCTCCTACAAACAGTGTCTTGGGATAAGGGAAAGCTCATCTGGTTTTAGGGATGCCTGTGAAAGAGTCAGTCAAAGTGTGGACAGACACAGATATCATCACCTGAGTACAGAAGAGAACAGAAGCACTCCTGCTCTGCATGGGCATTTCTTAGGCCTTACTGCACTCTCAGGCAAAAGTCCTTCGCCAGCAAGTCAGGCGTCCTCCACTGTTGTGATCTTCAGAGAACAAAGGCATCTGCCCTTTCAAGCTTTTACTTAACATTTTCACATGGCATAAATAAGTCAATGTTAATAACAAAAAAAGTTTTCAAAGGAAATGCTTTCCTGCTATGGATTTCAAAGACTCTCATACGCCTAAATGGCACCACGTAGCAAAGAATAACTTTGGATCAAAACATAACTTTTGCACATTGTTCCCTTTATTTTATCTAGATTAAAGAAAACTTGGGAGAAAAAAAAAAAAAAAAGAAGAAAAAGAAACCTAACAAGCCTAACAATAGAACTCCCAATAACATCTACTGGATATCAGTAAGATAAAAAAGGGTAGGGGAAGAGGCAAAGAAAAGAGAAGAATATGAAGAACTATGAGAAAGACCCACAGATGAGAAGTACTGTGCTCTTGACTAGGAATATCCAGTAAAGCACTGTTCCCTCACTCGTCTCAACCATTCTCAAGCCAAAAATACCAGTCCAGGACAAAAGCCCAGTGGTTCTCTTGCAAACCTAGTAACTCTCCAGCTCTCCTAGGGACACCTGTGGCCTCGGGGACACAGCACGGCGGTTAACACAGAAAATTTACCCTTAAATTTCGTGTATGCAAAGAGAACATAGATTCTGCAATGAAAGCATCTGCGAGCTGGGGCTGGGGGGCCCAGGGTAAGTAAGTGACGGTGGCCAAGCAGCGACTGCTCTCGGTCCTTTGAGCACGCCGGAGCGACTCCCCCGCAGCCCCGGGCGCCGGTAGGTTGGACCTGATGATCCCAGAGCTCTTTTCCAACCTAACCGAGCCCGCGGCTCCGTGACGGGGGCGGCCGCGGAGGCCCGGGCCGGGCACACGCGGGGGTCCCGCTCCCGTCCCAGCCCTTCCCGGCGCCCGGGGCTGCCTTATAATATATAATTATATATATTATATAATTATATATAATATTTATATTAATTATTAATTGTTGTAGTATGTATATTGGTACTTATATTAATTATAATGATATTGATTTATATTAAAATTTCAAATAATAATTTTTGGGTACATATTTACACACACACACACTGCAATTACTTTTTTGCAATAAATAAGTGATGAGAAGGCAGGTGTGGTGGTGCCAGCCAGGTCAGTAACAGTGCTGTGCCTCTGGAAGAAAGCCTGGCCCCTGAGGCTCTCAATCCCAGCTCCATGCCCAGCTGGAAAGAGGTCTCTGTTCCCTTGGCTTGCTTCCCTTACTTCTGAGAGAAGGGAACAAACAGGTGCTCACACTGCTGCTTGAGGGTTTTTGAGCTGCAACAGAGTAATGATAACCATTAAACAGTAATAATAGT